ATACACCACTGTCTTCAGTGAGTTGATATCTCACAACAAACCTGGTCGAACTCTACTGGTCACTGGTTCTCACTAGAACTCCAGGAGTATCTCTTGAAGTCAGTCACTACTAGAGTGAGCAGATGATTATTATCAGAAGGGGTTTTGTGGAGATTTTAGAAATTTCGCAGATTGAAATCATGAGTCGACTGAAGCTAGACCACCATGGGAAACCTGGAAGCACTGGATGGCCGTTTTGTCCTACTGTGGGACTCCTTAACAGTGCTCACCCACGATTCCATATCAAACGGAATCGAACCCACCAACTTCGATTATATGTGTCTTCAGTGAGTTACTATATCGCAACAGACAATAGTGGGCAATGGCACGATTTGATGGATTGGTTGAAGTTAGACATTAACACCGTTGAATATCGGTTCAGTGGTCGCGCGTGAGACCGATAAGTCCTAGGTTTGAATCCTGTGTATGGGGTCGTGGATGCGCACTACCGAGGAGTCCCAGGTTTTCCACGGTGGTCTAGCTTCGATTGACTCATGATCTTAACTATGATAACCACAGAAACTCATTTGTGATTATAATGATTATTTGCCTGGAAATAATAAGTAAAATTTCAAATGGTCCATTCAATCAAGAATACAAATGAATACAGTGTGTTCTTTTTAGTTCTTTTTTATTCATTGTGGTAATTTTCAGTTGAATGATAAATAATTTCGATGTCTACCATTGAGTTTGTCTGGATATAATACAAAATTCGTTTAGCTGCGTATAGTTTAATTGATGCTGCTAAGTTTTGCTCAAACCAAAGTAATTAGATCTTATCCTGACAGTTATCATGTGCTCAAAGTTCTGGTGAGAAACCATAACCAGTAGGTGTGAAGCAATTCTGAAGAGTTCTATGTTAGGACGAAACGATTGTCCAGTGCTTATAGGTTTTCATTGATGATCTAAAATTGATGGTTTCGTGATTTCACGGAAATTCAACGATCTTCAAATATCTAAACTGATGATTAGACAGTTTTTTTTACCATAGTTGAAGGTAATGTAGAATCTGGTATGCCCCTCTTTTACTTCAGTACTTAATTACTCCTGTTAACCTATTGTGGAGGAGCATAGGTGGCACACCAGTATTCTCTATCGAACTGTATCCTGGACGATCATTTTCAGTTGCTTCCATTTTCTATTCATTCTTTTGATATATGCTTTTGATTGCCGACGCATTGTGTTCTCCGATATTCCGCTTTTCCGTTTCTCTTCACGATTCCAGGTTGGCACTTTCCTCGTGATTTAGTTTCATGATTTCATCAATGTATGTCCTATCCACATCCAGAGTATTTCCTTAGTTTCCTCTTTGTCTAGAAATTGGCTTGTCTTCTACCACAGTAGGTTGTTGAATATTTAGGTGACAATTGTTTATAAATACTTGTACTACGATGATGATGGTTGTGGTAGTTCTGTGAGTTTCAGCTTCATACAGTAGCATAAACTTGACGTTCGTGTTGAAGATTGTGACTTTGATATTGGTTGACATTTGTTTTGACTTCAAATTTCTCTTCCACTGTAGGAAAGTATTATTTGCTTTGCCAATCCTTGCTTTTACGTCTGCATCGGACCCTTTTGTTGATCGATGATGATGTTCAGGTACGTGAAGGATTCCACCTCTTCCAGAGTTTCTCCGACAAGTATGACTGGGTTGGTGTTCTACGTGTTGTATTGGAAGATCTTGCTTTTTCCTTTGTGTATGTTGAAGCCTACTGATGTACAGGCTGCTGCTACACTAGTTACCTTTATCTGCATTTGTTTGTGTGTATGGGTTAGAAGGACTAGGTCATCTGAGAGGTCCAAATCGTCTAGTTGCACCCAAGCTCTCCATTGTATTCCGTACTTTCCCTCAGATGTTGTGGTTTTCACAATGCAGTCGATCACCAGGATAAAGAGAAATGGTGAAAGTAAGCGGCTTTGTTTTACACCAATCTTCACTTGGAATGCATCTGTGAGCTGTCCTCCATGCATTACTTTGCACTGTTATGCATCGCAAGAATACCATATGCTATTGACGATAATCTCAGGTACACCATAATGTCGAAGAAGCTTCCATAATGGTCTTTTATTCAGTCTATCATAGTCAGCGAAGTTGATGTATCATGATCCATTCCATTCGGTTGATTACTCAACAATAATGCTCGACGTCACGATTTGTTCTATGCACGACCGGTCTTTACGGAATCCAGTCTCTTGACCTCCAAGTTGGACATCTTACCAATACTTAATCTGGTTCAACAATACTATGGAAAACCTTTCGTGATCCCTCTATAATTCCCACACTTATTTAAATCACCTTTCTTTCGTATCTTGATGAGGTATCCTTCTTTCCGTCCCAAATCTTTCTGAATAGAACATGGCACATCTTTGTAGTTACTTCTATATCCGCCTTCAGTGTTTCAGCTTGTATGTTGTTTGTTCCTGCTGCTTTCTCACTCTCAATGTGTCTGACGGCTATGCTGATTTCTTTGATCGTTAGTGGAGCGACATGTATTAGGATGTCTCTAGTTGCTGCATTACAATAGCACAAAGAGATAAAATGATCAAAACAAAGAACAGTAGAACAAACAGTAATAATGTCTGTAGTTGTAAGAATGATTACTTGTAGAGTAAATGGTTAACACAACAAGATGAAGACCGGATTCATAGAAACAGTTACTTCAATAGTGGTAATATATAAAAGAAAGATTGCATATAAGGACATAGTACAGAAAGAAAGAATTAGTTAGTAGAAAGAAAGATATGAAGCGGTTGTAATCTCATAGTTTAAGGGAAGACAAAGAGTGTATACACCGACACCATTGTGATCGATTCTGAGACATGTCACCAACAGTCTCCAACCATTGGTTACGATAGTCACCGGCGGACTCCAACCAAGTAGTTTGCATCTACCAACATAGTTCAGACTAGAAGTTAGTGATTTCAAGCACTGATGCCACGTTTTGATTTGGGTTAATTAGAATATCACATCTACGGTTTTATTTCATTGTTATGTCTCATTCATTCATAACAAGAATAATCTAATAATTAAAGATACGGTATTATTAAGATTCTGTTATTAAGAGGGGGATTTATTTAATGAATACATATTCAGTGGAATCCAAGATACACATTTCGTCCTATTTAAGACTAGCCTGCATCTAAGAGTTGAGATTCACTTCGGGATATATATATGTCAATAAGAAACTGATCAATTTCAGTTCTAAACATCAATGGGAAGATTCAAATAAACAATAAAAGATGAGTAAAACCTTCACCACAGTGTACAAACTGGCGGCTAACTGAATTCAGTAGCTCAGTGGATGACGTGAAGAAGTTTGATGCGAACGGTATTGGGTTCGAGTGCCAAAGTGAAGATCAACTCTGGAATGCAGACAGATCCAACTGACGAGTTCAAATAGAACGAAACCTGCATTCTAGATTCTACTAATAACCACCATTCATCATTTTTCATAATGCTTGTGACTGAAGGCAATATCGTGGCAATTCGTAATAGAATACACATATGCCAATAATAAGAGACTGACTGATAACTAAAATACAATTATAAAACTATTCTGTTTTAATATCAGAAAGGGTTTTGTGGATATTATAGCAATTTTAATAGTTGAGATCATAAGTCACTTGAAGCTAGACCACCATGGAAAACCTGGAAGCACTGGACGGTCGTTTCGTCCTATTGTTGGACTCCTCATCAGTGCTCATCTACGATCCCGCTCGCTGGATTCGAGCCCAGGACCTATCATTACCATCCAAAACCTGGAAAAACTCAACGAGCGTTTCGTAATAGTACTTGACTGCTTAACAGTGCGTATATATGATCCCACACCAAAGGGACTCGAACTCACCAAATTCAGTCTCACGTGTGAACACTGAACCATTGAGCCGGCCGGGATCCAACGGTGTTAATGTCTAACTTCAGCTAATCCCTGAATTGAGCCACTATCCACCATTGTCTTCAGTGAGTTACTATGTCACAACAGACATGGCTGAATCTCATCGGTCACTAGTTCTCAGTAGAACTTTGAGAAATATCTCTTGAAGCTAGTCAGTAGTGAGCATATTCTGATAACTATCAGAAATGGGTTTTCGTGGATACTATAGTAATTTAATAGTTGAGATTATGACTCAATTTTACTCAACTAATTAACGTGACATTGTACTCACGATCAAATACACATAAGACTGAATTAATATTTCTCTATGAAATAGATTAAACTATTAGAGTTGGGATATAATAAACCCTTAGATTTTCCAACTTGAGTCAGTTCTGAATATAGAATAACTATGGTTCAATCAACATAGAGTCTTGTATAAACGTGCGTCGGTCCAATCGACTGTACAAGATCAACACGAGATCATACTACTAATATTGCCTGATCGATGGAATTTGATCAGAACTGACAGAACTAGACAGTTATTATTAACAATCCCTATATAACTCAATCTCACATGTAGTCAATCGCTATCTGAATACCCTAGCAGTAATATGTTACAATGTGATACCGGCTGACGCGAGTTCGTACTCCACAGGGAGTATCGTTATCCTTAAGCTTTTGGTTATACTTTGTTGAAAAGCTTGAAGTATAACGCAATCTCTGTCAAGAAGGGTTTCCTATTTAAGACTTTCAATCACCGGGTTTAGATTCTTTCAATCTTTATGTGTTGATTAATTTGATCTAATATATGATTCCATAAAAAGAACGTTCTTCATAATGGTTAACACGGTTTGAAATCTGTAAAGAGATATTAGTTCCATCAAGCTTACATAATACTAACGTATTCCTGCAGAATGTATCTATTTGAGTAGCCGGTGGGGGAGGGGGTAAAATTGTTGAGATTAATCGACTAAATGTCTGTTATAATAATCTTTTCTTATCAAATCTTCTTTTGTTCTTTGTCATGGCTCATCGGTGATTTCTTATTCTGATTTGTAATTGTTTTTTTTTTAAAAAAAATAGCTATTTGCGCAACATATACGTCGTAATGTTCTACGTGTTTTCAGTGATGCATCAAATTCTGTTATCAGTCAACAATTAGGAGATTTATGGCGTACTGTTCCAAGAAGTTGCCGTAATCAATACGATGATGAAGCGAATAGATTAGTGAAAATTCATCAAATTGAATTTCCCAATTATAAATATCAACCTAAAAAACGACAAATCACATCATCGTCATCATCCTCCTCATCATCCTCATCATCGTCAACAACAACCGCCACCACAACCACTGCGAATACATCAAGGAGTAATAATGATCAAATGCGTATGCTTAGTCCAAATCAATTCCATAACACCACACACACTCTTACTCAATCATCTATATCAATGAATAATATACGAGAAGATCAATTGATAACATCAAGCAAATTATTATCAACCAATTTACTTAAAACTGGTACGGACTACAATGTTGTTTATTCTTCTTGTTCGTCTTCATCGGCGTCGTCTTCTTCGTCTTCTTCAACTGTCACAAATAAACTACCAACTTTATCTAATCGTAATTATTCCATACCCGGTATATCATCTATGAATAGTTCTGTTGTTAAGGGTCAAACTACCAATGGTAATAATGAATTGATGAATAATTTTATGACAAGTCCATCTAAATTACTATGTAATACAATTTATGCTAAATTAGAACCGAAACCATTAAGTGTGAATATTATCAATACTACTAATAATAGTAGTATACCTATGAATAACAATAATAATACTATTAACAGTAGTCAAACTTTATCATTCAAACCAACTATACATAGTTTATCATCAGTGTTACCACCTCTTATAACTTTGTCATCAAATCATCATCATGCACATCATCCACATCATCCACATCATCATCAAACAAATGGATTAATGAATGAACAATTTTCACTTGGTATATGTGATTCAGCTTATGCATCTGGAATTAATAGTTCATCATCATCATCAGCATCATCTCCAGCTGTAGGTGAATTAATTTCACCGGCAAAATCATATTCATCAACTTTTTCATCACTTTCATCATCATCGACATCATCATCATTATCTAATATGAATCTAAAACAAACAAAACAATCACCAATACGACGTAAAATTCATTTTATACCAATTAGACCACAATCACAACAATTACCACCTGTTGGGAATCAACCAACACGTCAACGTTTTCTTTCTGCAAATAATGGTATTACTACTACTAACAATACTACTAATAATACTACTCATAATAGTAATATATCAACTATTGGAAATGGTTATATTCAAATGAATGGCTTTCAATTTAAATCCAACTCTGAAAATGTTATTATACTTCCAAGAAAATTAAATGATTTACATGTTGAACAAAAAGATGAACAATTAACTGAAGAATTGATGAATGATACTCTTATACTTCAAGAGAACAATAATGATAATAATAATAATAGAATGGTAACCACTGATATTTTAACACCAGTTTATATTCAATTAGATCATGAAGGACAAAATCCATTGACAGAAGGTTTAATGTTAACTTTACCACCTGGTACAACATTCATTCAAACGAATCATGATTCTATGAATCGTGGTATTCCATTGAATAATCATAATAATACAATATCAAAACGATTTTATATTACGAATGGTAATCGTATGATACCAGGTATATCGAAATCGGTACAAATTTTACAACCATTAAAAGTAATGAATGTGATACATCATCATCATCATGTTCATTCAAATCATTCATCATCATCATCTTCAACAACAACAACAGCAACAACAACACCATCATCATCATCATTATTATCATATCCAGAACCTATTCTATATAGTCCATTAATGAGTAGTTCAGAATTATTATCATCATCATCATCATATAGTTGTAATTCATCACCGAATTCAATTGTATCACCATTATCTGGTGATGTATTTCTACCAATGCAACAAGTTGAAATGATGTCAAATTCTACACATTTCAATACATATGATCAACAATCAACATGTATGGATATATATCAATTTAATGGACAAAATCAATTAGATATGTGTATAGAAGAAGAAGAAGAAGAAGAAGAACAAAGGGTACACGAAGAAGTAGAAGAAGGAGAACAAATTCTTATTGATGAAAGAAGAATGACACAACTTCATTCAAAGAATTTAGATACAATCACCAATATTATTAGTATAGATGAATGTATGGATGCTGTAAATAATGATACATTTATAAGTAATACAAATTCTTCAGGTATTCTACATAATTGGTCATCAAATTTACCATTTAGTGAATCAATGTTAATGTCATCTTCAACATCCACATCATCATCATCAGGTTCATTATTATCATCCATTGGATCATCATCGTCATCATCATCCTCATCATCGTTACCATTAACAACAACAACAAAAACAATGATCACTATGAATAATAATGATTATGATCATGAGGGTATAGGTGCCTCAAATCGACATCTACCATTAACTATTGATATTATGAAATCAACAAATGAAAATTTCATCACCTTATCATCTACATCTTCATCAACGATCACTACCTTGAATCCTCTGCCTAATCATCATCATGATCATCATCATCATCATCCACATCATCTTCATCATAATAGCAGTATCTCTATTGATAATGATTTAAATGATACTGATTTCTCTATTACAAATGATAATGATAATTTTGATTCAAGTTTTGATGCAATGATGAATTCGATTGATATTACAACTTTTCTACCTGGTACATTTCAAACAAATGAAGAACAAGATCAATCAATACATAATGATTATGATCATGTACAATTAAATTCATATCATCATCATAATCAACATGAATTCATGAAAATGGATGAATTTGATGAATCATGTCATATCATCAATGATGTCATAGCAACAACAACAATAATGCCAACAACAACAACAGTAGCAACAATAGCATCATCATCATCATCAGAAGCAGCAGCAGCAGCAGTAGCAACAGCGCCATCATCATCAGCCTCATCATCGTTTATGAATAAACCGACTAATTCACAATTCTACAATGTTATTAAATCTGATATTGATTTGATTCATTATAATCATTTAGAGAATGAAAATCGTACAGTACGTATTATTTCACCATTACAAAAAATTGGTAAACAATCATCACTTACATATTCACATCCAATATCATCATCATCATCATCATCATCATCATTACAAGGAACACAATGTTCCACCTCTCTATCATCATCCACCTCCTCCTCATCATCATCATCGTCAACTTCATCGGTATTAAGAATGAATTCATTACATGAATTATTAAATAATTCACCACAAGTATGTTCATCTACATTGGCAGATTTGGATTCATTAGATAAATCTAGTTTATTTATTATTAAACCAGAATGGTCTGTATTCGCTTAAAACAATATGAATAATCATTATCATGAAATTATTGAATTATTGATTGATACAATTTGTATATTGAATTGATTGATACATAAATCTATTCACAAGTCTATACAATCTATTCTTTCCCTCCTCCTCCTCCTCCTCCTTCTTGTTCTCCTTCTTCTTCCCCTCCTCCTTCTTCTTCTTCTTCTTCTCTATTTGTTTCTCTGGGCATATCCTACTTATATAACTCAGGTGGTTTATCTCAGTTACATTTTAGTTGTCCATGTTTTTTTTTGTTTTTTTTTTGGTACTCGTTCAATTTAGTATTTTTCAATCCATTTCAACATTTTACTTTTTTGTTTGTTTTTTTCTACTTTTGGTTTGCTTTTTTTTTTAAAAATTTTCCAAACAAATCGTTTTCTTTACATAAAATTTTGTTGGTGTTAAAAGAACAAAAAAACACAGGTAATATACAATTTTTGTGTTTCCCCACACATCACCACCCCACCCCAACCCCTACCCCTCAATGCCCAACAACCACCCCCCTTCATCAATTTAATATCTTCACATATTCTTATTGTTAATTAAAGCATTTAAATAAATCAATAAATCAATAAACAAACAAGTCATAAATCTTATTGATTATTGAATAATAATAATAATCATAATCATAATCATAATATGTGCATTAAATTATTTTGTACATATGATAATTCAATGATTCAATTTTGTTGCCATGCTCCTTTTTTGTTTAAAAAAATTCTTTTCAGGTTGTACAGTATAACACACACACACACAATCAATATTTTCTCCTTGTGCTTTCTTTATTCAATAATAAAGTCACTTTTTTTGTTTTGTTTTGTTTTTTTTTAAAAAAAAGTAAAATGGAACTTACATCATCAATATAAGTAGTATGGTTAGTAGTCATAGTAGTTGTAGTAGTAGTAGTAGTAGTAGTAGTATAAATGCTACTTTAAATGTTGGATACTAACGTTTTCTTAACTGTCTCTTTTGTTGTTGTTGTTGTTGCATTATAACTTTTGATAAGATTGAGATTTAGTGAATAATACATCTATACATAAATCTATTGATCAATTGAATATATCTCAGGACAATTCATTTCTATTTTATGCTTTACTACGTATAGTAGACAGTTTTACATACACACACACACACAAACACACACACTCTCTCTCTGTCTCTGTCTCTGTGTCTTTGGTTAGTTACTATTTCAGCCTTTTATTGATATAATCCTACCATGTAGTATTATTAATAACCATAGTAATTATCAACAGGATTGTTTCAATTTTATTAAATTGTACAGTATTCATTCGATTCTTGTTTTTTCTTTTTTTTTTCTTTTTATAAACTTTATTTTCTATACAAATCAACAATGACTAGTCAGGTAATTCATTGAAATCAAGGATCTTGTTTTCTTTTTTTCTCGTTTTTTTTGTTTTTCTATTACGGCGGGGAACAAAATTGATCCTTTTACAACATTCACTGTCTCAGGTGACTTCATGATTATGATTATTACGTAATATTTAGTTACTTAGTTGTATGTTCCATGATACTTCTTTTAACGAATCTAATTATTTTTTGAAAGCATTTTATTTTTTTTTCTTTTTCAAAAAAAAATTGTGTGTGTGTGTGCGGAGGGGGGGGAATATGTTCTCAGTATTTGTTACTATGGTTATTTTCTCTATGTTTCTTCATGTGTCTGTGTGGGTGTGCGGTTCCGCATTCTTTTTTGGGATATCGAAATCGATCAATCAGTTCCCCCCTCCTTCTCTTCCCCCCTTCATTCAACGATACACTTATGTATTCGAATGAACTGATAATAATAATAATAAAGGACCTTTCATATTCAGGGTTATTATTACAATTATATAATCGATAATAATCTTTTTTTTTAATATTGTTGTTGTTGTTGACTTCTTTATTGGCTTTCTCTGTTTGTTTGTTTATTATTAGTGATTTTAATGAATGGTTATGATGAGTATAGTTTTATTACTGCTGAAGTTTGACAATCATAATGATGACGTTCATTCTATACTACTTATATACTACTTATCTTTACATCATTTGTTATATACATTTATATATATATATGGATATATCTATGATAACCAACATTGTAATATTTTATGAATTGCCTTTTCTTTTTCTAAACAAAATGAAAAAAATAAAATAAAATAAACTTTTCAATTGAATTAATTAGAGTCTACTTTATTCTTTTGTCACAGAGTTGACATTAGGTTGAAGTACTTACTTACTTACTTCGGTTAGTCCTCGTGAAGGAGCATAAGCCACTTACCAAGATTCTCCATCCAGTTCCTATTCATCAGTATATAAGTGGATAATGCGATGATGTTTGAAGCGAATAGTACTGGGTTCGAGTATCAGAGTGAACATCAACAAATCTGAGATGAAGGTATATCCAGCTGATGAGTAGTCCCGAATAGGACGAAACGTGAGTCAAACTGGATTTTACTGCTAGCCACTATCCATTAAGTTTGAAGTATACTATGATTTTATTATTTAGTTATTTAAACACAAGGTGGTATCAAGTAAATCATTTGATTTGTGTACGTTGATTGTGATACTGACCGGGTGCTCAAACCGAAGCAGGTAGTTTTCTTTGAAGGGCCAAATCCGGAGCCTTTGACCTAAGGATTTAATCCATAAGGTAATGGAGCGACGTCAAGGAATGCAGTCTTATAGTAGTAGGTGATAGAATGATTGGTTCATATGGCATTTATTCCTTTAGGATCCTGGAGCCCATGTGAATCATTGGTTTGAAATCAGGATTTTCCAACTTCCCTACGTTAACTCTCCGTGTTCACAAGCTCGTTTAAAGCGCCAAACATTCTCTTTTCGTCTTCTTAATTTCGCAAACAACAGTAATATCGCGAGAAATCAGTGAGTAGGACTTCCTTGGTAGTGTTTGTATGCAAGTGACTATGTGAAAGCATTTCAAGAGGCAAGTATACTATGATATTAAACATGAAACTGTAACCAGTACAACTGAATTAGTGAGAGTGATTTCAGGATATGTTACCTAATTCACTATTTCTACATTTGTCATAGTTCATGTTATGATGTGGACTATAGTTTTCTGAGTTAGTAGAACAATCTTTATGAAAGAAATAACAATGATCTATCAGATGTAGTGAATAAGTGATTATTTTTCAGTTTTGACATTACGTTTAACAACATGTGAGTGAATTGACTTTGGAATTATATCAGTGAACTCTGACCCTGTGGTTTTAAGGAATGACTGATCATCACGAAGTTTAAAGAGTCTGGGTTCGACTCTTAGGAGGTTGTGGGTCATTACTGTTCAATAGTATCCTACTAGGACGATGTATTTGTTCGATTCTCCATTCTCTTCATTGGTCCTTCAAATAATACTAATCTGTAACAGATATAATATATAAATAAACCGATATATGTTAATCACTGAATCGAATGTATATAGTTTAATGGATGATATTGAAACCTTTGTAACTAAATCATCGTACTGACAGCTTGGAGACTCAATTTAAGTACATTCAATATAATCTACCACTATCTTATTGAAGCTACAGTAAAGTAACACTTCACAATTGATTGATCACTGAGTGGTGATCAATGTCATGTGTGTCAAGTCCTTATTATTAGTGCAGATCGAATGCTATCGACCGTGATGCAATGTGGCCACCAATCTTGGTGACTCGGCAATTCAGGCACTATATATTGAGATTAGATGGTGGTTGGAGGTAGTCGACAGGAAAGCCTTGACCCGAATTTCATGCCACTTGACACTCGTCAACACGGTATACCTGTAATCTTGAGGGAACTGGTGTTCCCTGGTGGATTCGGTCTCGTGTCACCCAGCTTCACAGTCAGAGACGTTACCACTGAGCTATCCAAGCCGCAACCGATCTCCTGTAGGACTGAGATGTAATCACAATTGATTGATCACTGGGTGGTGATCAATGTCATGTGTGTCTAGTCCTTATTAGTGGAGATCGAATGCTATGATTGATAACGAACTGTTTCATCCTGACCATGAATAAACTCTCCGGTTAGGGTTATTATCTTAACAGATTATTGATATGACTTATAATGTAACATATAATTATGGATATACGTACGTGACAATATTCAATTTTCCCTTTGTCTCTGATAGGATATAAGATATTTGTTATGTTGTTTTAAATTTGGGATAAAAAGTTCTACTTCAAATTTGAATGGTCGGTTCGAAAAGTCTAGTTCCACTAAACTTCCATGACCATGGATTTACCTATACCTGTTAACCATCGTGGAAGAGTATAGGCGGAACATCAGCATTCTCTATCCAACTGTGTACTGAGCAATCCTTACCATCTGTTTCCAGTTTCTATTCATTCTTTTAATATTTGCTTCCACTTCCTAACCCAATATGTTCTTTGGTCTTCCTCTTTTCCGTTTCCCTTCAGGATCTTATGTGATGGTTTGCCTCATGATTCATTTTAATGATTTCTTCAATGTATGCCCTATCCACTTCTAACTTCATTTCCTAATTTCCTCTTTATCTGGAAGCTGGATTGTTCCTTTTCACAGTAGATTGTTGATGTTGATTTCCGACCAACGGACATTGATTATATCGTATAGACAATTGTTTATAATTACTTGTACCTTTTTGATGATGATGGTTGTAGTAGTTCTACCTGACTTATCTAACTGGGAAATTTAATGGTATAAATCTAAAGAACAGGTATATTTGTTGTCTATAGTTAGCAGAATAATACAGGACGGATATTTTTATCCAGTTTTGAATTCTTCAGCCTAATGTACTTGGGTCCCAGGGTTGATATCTACACCAAGACTCAAACAAAGTGATTTTCCTTTAAACCTTTGTATTTTACCCTTACTCAATGTCCACCGACCGAATAACATCAGTAACAGCTTACTATGGGAGAGAATAAACCAGCTTCCAATTGGAGATGGGGTTATAAAGAGACAATGGAATTGGATGGGATATACGCTGCGAAAATCCTCAACCTGAATTATAAGACGATTTATAACTTGAAATGTTGAAGGAAGGAGAAAGTTCAAGGAACACACTGTGTTGATAATTCGAAGCAGTCATCAAAAAAATAAATGGTAACTGGGAACAACTAGAAAGGTTTGTCCAGGATGAAGTATGCTAGTGGGCGGCCCATGTTTCTCCACGAGGGGTAACAGTCATAATACAATAGATTATATGTTACTTATCGAGTTACTAAGTTCAATTAGGTGATAATTTAGTCAGGGAATTTCGAGCTCCCAGTTGCTGATATTTATGACTGTAATTGATAAATCTCCATTAATATACACACATCTTGTACGAACTGTGCCGATATAATCATTTATTCACAAATTTTAAATATATACATGACAAAACTTTTACACTATGGTGAACTATTTATTATTTACTTATTTGAACACATAAACATTGGTACAAGGAAGCACCAAATAGATATGTGCCACATAAATCATCCGATTTGTGTGAGGGCTGGGATAATGTCCAGGTGCCGAAAACGAAGCAGGTGGTTTTCTTAGGGGACCACACCCAACATAAAGAGATGCAATTCCATGGTATCCGGTGACCAACAATAGGTTCATACGTCATTTGTTCCTCGAGCCCATATGCATCATTGGTTTGGAATCAGGATTTTCCAACTCCCCTACGTAGAGCCTACAAATTCGCCTACCTGGTTAAATCGTCAGACATTCGCTTTCCGTTCTCTCAATGTAATAAACAACATCATCGATGAGAGTATGCAATGAGTATAACTTTCCTGATAGTAGTTGTATGCATGTGGTTATGTGAGAGCATTTGGAAAGGGAAAGGTGACTCTCCCCACCCTCGGCCACATCAAGACATTTGGGAACATCGTGAACTATTACAACACTTCAGAACAAAACATCATAATTATTCACCCAGATATTAAAAAAAAACAGAATCATCCTCCATCAAGTGTAGATTGCGACCTTTCAAATATTCACTTTTTTTTAGAAAATATTACCTTCATATTATCTTGCTTATCATATTGTATTCCTTATAAACAATGATAAATATAGTCTTTGGTTGAGATCATGAATTAATTGATGTTAGACCACCGTTGGAAACCTGGAAGCATTGGACGGCCGTTTCGTCCTAGTGTGGGACTCCTCAGCAGTGTGCATCCACGTTCCCGCACCACGTGGGATTCGAACCCAGGACCTACTGGCTTAGCGCCTGAGCACTTAACTTAACTTAATTCATGATCTCAACCAAAAACTTAACAATCTCCACAACCTCTATACTGATAATAAATATAGTCATTAACAATAACAACAATAACAGTAATAAAATATTAAATTCTTATAAACATACACAATGTTTACTTTTGATAACAAAATTATTATACAACAAAATGAATGTATCTATAAGCAATGATGGATAGTGGCTAGCAGTGGAATCCAGGACACTCGTTTCGTCCTATTTGGAACTTGTCAGCTGGATGTACTTGCATCTCAGAGATGATGTTCATTCTGGGACTTGAATCTAGTACCATTCGCTTCAAACACCATCGCGTTAACCACTAAGCTACTGAGTTCTGATAGCCACTTGCTTGTGAAATGGGGTGAATTTCAATTCACTTGATATTGTCTTTTACTTGTATTTTCCCATTGAGGTTTAACATTGCAATTGATCAGTCTGTTATTGGCATATGTGTATACTGTGCGTATGCCTTGATATTGCCTTAATTCACAAGCTTTTTTATAAGCAATGATCAATAGTGGCTCAAAGGGAAGATACAAGCCAAACAATACCAAGTGAATTTGAATGTATCTATGTTTAGATGATTTGTCTAGGTATAGTTCTATCTATATCATTTACCGGGAAGAGGAAAGTTGAAGAATGTGCTACGTTGAGAAATCGAAGCAGATATGAAAATGATGAATAAAAACTGGAAAGGATTACGTAGGAGAGAGAGAGTTGTTGAATGGACTTTGCCCTTCAAGAACAGGTAACAGACATAAGTAATTACGTAATTAATTAATTAATTAATTAATTAAGTAAGTAAGTAAGTAAGTAAGTAAGTAAGTAAGTAAGTAAGTAAGTAAGTAAGTAAGTAAGTAAGTAAGTAAGTAAGTAAGTAAGTAAGTAAGTAAGTAAGTAAGTAAGTGTTGAAGTAAGTAAGTAAGTAAGTAAGTAAGTAAGT